TACTGGAGAAAAAGCATAACATTTTAAGTATACTGTGTAGATGCTCTGCTGATGAGCTCTACTCCCAGCCCAGCTAAGAGTCAGTGCACCTTATTCTATACATACTCCACTCCTAGTTAAACTTCAGTGAATATTTTAATGCAAGGAATAGGGAAGACTAAATTAAACAAACACAGCCAAGAACCAGGATCCAAGTAACCATGGTTATGGAAGAGCCCAAAGACTTGATCATGTAAACTCATCCCTACAGCAATATCAGAGTGAAACAACAAAAAGACCGGGTGCACTGCACCTATTAGGTCTCACAGAGCAGGTGGTGGCACATTCTTTCAGATTATACACAACTGATAACAGACAAAAGACGATCACAGAATGAATACTCCATATACTCCACTGTCTGCCTGACCTTCCAATACATACTCTACTCCCATGAGACATCAGAAAGCAAGACCCTCAGGCTCTGTCATAAGGTGCACTATGTCAAAATATATAATTACCCCCCCAAAAAAGGTAACTATACTACAAAATACTCTTGCAAAAGTATTCAAAACTTCAAATAATCCAGTATCCTTGGACACATTATCAAGAGATATCTTCAAAAGACACTGACATAAGAGTGGTAGCAATATTCATGCCAACAGGTGGATGAAGCTCAATACAAAAACCCAAAAAATGTGAAAAACATGGCGACATGACTCCTTTAAAAGTCCATAATAGCCAGGCATGGTGGTGCACGCCTTTAATCCCAGCACTCAGAGGCAGAGGCAGGCAGATCTTTGTGAGCTCGAGGTCAGCCTGGTCTACATAGTGAGTTCCTGGCCAGCTGGGGCTACAGTGGGACCCTGTCTCAAAAAGACCAAAGAAGGGCTGGAGAGATGGCTCGGTGGTTAAGAACACTGGTTGTTCTTGCAGAAGACCTGGGTTCAAATCCCAGCACCCACATGATAGCTAACAACTGTCCATACCTCCAGTTCTAGGGGATCTGACAGCCTCTTCTGTCCTCCGTGGGCACTGCATGGCACGGGTGCACTTACCTACATGCAGGCAATGCACGCATACACATGAAATAATAATAAATAAAAATACTTTTAAAAAGACCAAAGGGGGAAAAAACCCACAGACGATTTAGAGAAGAAAAGGGGAATATTACAACAGATATCACTGATATCCAAAAGAGTATTAAGAATTATTTTGAAAACTTATACTCCAATAAGTGGGAAAACTTTAGAAGTAAAGATAAAGTTCTAAGCATATATGACTTACCAAACTTGAACTAATAAAAACTATTAAAACTATAGAAAATATTTTAATAAAAAAAGAAGCAAGGATTCTCAACAACCCAAATTCAATGATTCTATAAAAAGAACATGCATCATGATCACATTGCTTTCACTCCAGGAATGCAAGGATGACTTGATATTTACATCTCAGTAAATATAATTTAATACATAAAAAGAATGAAAGACAAAAATCACATGAGCATCTCAACAGATGCACAAATTGCATTTGATAAAATTCAGCCCCTCTTCATGATGAAAGTTAAATCTAGTTATAGAAGATAATATCTCAATATAATAGGCTATATATGACCAGTGTATAGCCAATGTAATTTTGACTGGAAAAATATGGAAAACAAGCAAGATTAAGAGATTAGGATCTCTATTCTCACCACTTTTCTTCAATATAATCCTTGAAATTTTATCCAGAGCTGGAAAAGGAAGGAAATAAAGGGCATCCAAGCAGAGAAGGAAGAAGCCCAACTGTCCTATTTGCAGATTACTCCATCCTGTACTTAGATTATAAAAACTCCAGTAAAAGACTGTTTGACCTTATAAACACTTTCAGCAAACCAGCAGGACACAAAATCAGCATAGAAAAATCAGCATCCTTTTTAAATTCACCAATAATAAACCCTCTGAGAAATCAACAAGACAATCCCATTCATAGTAACCTCAAAAACAAACCCAATGGAAAGGATGAAAGGCCTCTACAAAAAGTATAAAACACTGAAGAAAGAAACTGAAGGAGATATTAGAAGAGGGAAAGACATCCCATGTTCATGTATCAAGAATTAACCTTGGAGTAGGCATGTGGCACATGCCTTTAGTCCGAGCACTCTGGAGGCAGAGACAGGCAGATCTCTGTGAGTTCCAGGCAGGCTAGGGCTACAGGAAGACCCTGTCTCAAAAAAAAAAATCAAAAACAAACAAAAAGAATTAATCTTGAGAACTGGAGAAATGACTTAGCAGTTAAGAACACTGGCTGCTCTTACAGAGGACCTGGGCTTGGTTCCCAGCACCAATGTGGTGGCTAACAACCATTTGTAACTCCAGTTCCAGGAGATCCAATGCCCTCTTCTGGCCTTTATGGGCATGGAATGCATGGGTGCCCTTGTATACATGTAGGCGAAACACATATGCATAAAATACAAATAAATACATTTTAAAATATTTTTTTAAATTAACCTTGTTAAAATGGCCATGTTATTAAACACGATGTATGTATTTTATGCAGTTCCCATCAAAATTCCAATGGTGATGGTTACAGAGCTAGACCAAATTATCCTAAACTTTATATGAAAGCATTAAAGACTCTAAATTTCCAAAACAATCCTGAGAAAAAGAGCAATGCTGGAGGCATCACAATGCCTGATTTCAAATTACACAACAGAGCCATCATAAAAAAAAAATGGCACAGTACTGGCACAAATACAGACATATAAATCAACAGAATAGAACAAAGGACCAAAAATTAAGTCCACATGGTTAGAGTCATCTGATTCTTGGCAAAAGTATAAAAAATATATGTGAGAGAAAAGACAGCATCTATAACAAATGATACTCAGAAAACTGAATATCCACATGCAGAAGAATAAAACTAAACCCTTACCTCTCACTATGTACAAAAACCAACCCAAAATGGATCAAAGACCTTAATGTACAAACTGAAACTTGGGGCTGGGAAGTTGACTCAATTAGTAAAGTGCTTGCCATGAAAGCATGAAATTTTGAGTTCAGATCCCTAGCACACATGTGGAAGCTGGTCATGGTGGTGATGCTACCTAGGCTCATTTCTCTGGTTAATTTCTTTGCCAGGTAACATTACAAGACAAGAGTTTTTCAGTCATAGCACACAACCAAGATTTATTGAAGCAAAAGCTAACGCTCCACATAGCACACAAAGAGACACTCTGCAAGGAGAGAGGGTCCAGAGCTAGCACATGGTCTACCCCTGTGAAGAGTCTTGGCTTTTATATTCTATACAGTGGAAGCTGGGACAGGACTGGGCTCCTCTTTTCCCCCTTTGGATTAGGCAGGACAGGATGCATGCTGCTGGTTGGTTCACTCATATGAAAGCAGGAATTTGATTGGAAAAGCAAGGGTGGGAGGTTGAAATTCCCATTGGAGGCAGCCTGCCAAAAGGACCAACTTTGGAGAAGAAGCCTGAAGTGGGCCATCCTAGGTGAAAGTTAATTGGAGCACAGCTGAATCTAGTCTGGGCACCCCTTCCCTGACTATATGCCCAATTTAGAATTAACTCTCTTCTATTCTTCAGTGATGTGTATCCATAGCCCCACTGCTGGGGAGGGAGGGACAGAGGGATTCCCGGAGCTAACTGGCCATCCAGTCTAGCTGAATCTGTGAGCTCCAGGTTTAGTGAAATACCTTGTTTTAAAATATAAGATGGAGGTGACTGAGGAAGGCACAAGTGTCAACCTCTCTCTTCTATATGCATGCCCACACATGTATATACACAGAAATACACACACATATTCATTAAACTCTAACACACAGGAAGTGAAACTTTGAAACTGCCAGAGTGAAGCCTAAGGAAAACACTTCAGTTCTAGGTATAGGCAATGACTTTCCAAACAGGAATCCAATAGCTCAGGAAATCTGGAAACCCCATGCATAGCAAAAGAAAGAACAGTGAGAACAGACAGCTTCCACAATGGGAGTAAATATTTGCTAGCTTTCCAACTGACAGAGGATGTATGTCCATAATACATAAATAAACTTAAGAAACTGAACATTCATGACTTATCAACATTATCAGATTTTGGACTTTAGTCATTTTAGCAAGAGGGAAAAGTCTCTTAAATTTGTGCTTGTTTAATAATAAATGGTGTTAGAAATTTTTATGCGTCATTTGATGTCTTATACCTTCTTTGGTATGAATCTGTTTAGAACCTTTGTTGACCTTTGAAGAGATTGGGTATGTTCAAGATGGTATGGTGTAGATATTTCTGCTAATTTTTAATTGGCTTGCCTTTCGTTGTTGAGTTTTAGTTCTTTGTCTATTTGGGATGCAAGTTCACGCAAAATATTTTGCAATCCCCTCCACCCCCAGTCTTCTCCTTGGCTGTTCATTCTCTTGACTGAACGTTTTCTGCACACCAGTAGTTTAAAGTCTTTTACACATTGTGATTTAGGTGTTTAGTCTCATTGCCCAGATGTTCCTCTATGTTTTCTTCTTGGGGGTTTCTTTGTGTCTTGTCTCTCGGCCAGACAAAAATGAGATGTCCCATTGTTCTTGACCGGAATTAAAACAAAACAAAACTTTTCTGACAGTCTGGTACTTTAGAAAACAAGTTTTCTCAGTAAGACAAACAGCTGTGAAAGAGATGGGGCTTCAGACTGACTTTGAGAAAATTATTATTTGTAGTTGATTTGATCTGGGCTGTCTTTAGCTTTAGTTTGCCCATCAAATAGACAGCTTTTTTCCCCAATGGGCCCTGAACTTCGCTTTCTCATTACACAGTGCGTGAACACAGACCCAAGAAAGACCCCGGGCTTCCTGGAGCGGCAGAGATACCCTGGCGCTATTGGCTCCAAGGTCGGGGCAGCAGCTCCGTCTCCGCCCCTGCTCCGGCCTCGCGGCCTTCTCTCTCTCCCGGCTCGGCTCGGCGCCTGGGAACCTGGCTGCGGGCCGGGCCGCGGGGTGCGCTCAGGCCGCGGGGCGGAGCCGGCCTCCGGCAGCGGGCGACGAGCGCGGAGGCCTTGTAGGTGAGGCCTCGGCCTCGGCGGTGCAGGCCCACGGCTTCTAGCTGCTCCGTGGCCGCCTCGGTCGAGGGCCGGTGCGGGACCCGGGAACAGCCGGGAGCGCGTTCCGTGGCCTTCGGAGCAGCGGCGTGAGGTAGGAGCTGCGGGCGCGAGCGGCGGGGCGGGGCTCGGGGCTGAG